ATGCCCACAAATGGCCAAGGCTGCCGTAAATATATACAAAAACTTGTATTTTGTTTATATATATGTATATATACATTTGATGTTGCAATGCGCCCCGTGTAGTCTTTTCAACTTTTCCACTCACTAAGAAACTGAGCGGGGTTTTGGAATCCGAGGTTTATTACTCAAGCATCCGCATCTGCAACAGCCAGCACGTGGACACAGCAGACGACACGGTTATAATAAATGTCGACCAAGTTATAAAAAGTGGTGACATGCATACAAGAGAATTGAAACGGTGGATGGTCAATATTAGATCATCCTTTTGTCGACGATAAGGCAGGGGCCGAAAATTTGTTGCTTCTAACCGTGACGATGGGGGATGGCTTTCTCCCCAAAGGCCGCTTTCAGCGGGGTGTATGGTGCTGCAACGCACCTGTCTGGTAGGAATAGGGCCAACTGGACGGGTGTGCGGGGTTCAGTACTGATAAATTTAGGAATCTGGTCATACATGGGTGCGAAAATTTATGATATGGATAAAGCGAAGTTACCGATGTGAAATCGGAAATGCACAAATACAAAGTGAGAGTGGCGCCAAAAGTTCACGAGTTCATCTTCAGTGAACCTGACAGACAGTGAGGCCAATCGCTAGCTACTCGTGCTCGCTACGTGCGAGTGCGAAACCATGAAAGGATAATGTACAGCAGCTAGTTTGGATGGCACATTTGAAAGATCGCACAAAATATCCACACGCTTTGACTGGGTGGATAGAGAGAACCACACGAGCAACTCAAGGTAATGTGACAACGCCCCGAATGCCTGGGTCCATGACTGTGTGCCTTCAGCCAGGTCAATCCTTTAGGGCCGTGGAGGTCAACATCACTGTTAAACCTCATCCAGGCATAAGCTATTGATCTTACGGAACTATCTGCCCCCCACCACTAGTAGGTTCGTGGCAACCCTAGGACGATACCTGCCAGAGGCGATAACCTGATGGTTTCCCCACCATTACGAATCTACGAGTGGGCCAACTTTAAGGACTGGCCCCTGGTTTTCTGAACTTGTTCCGGAGTGTCATTACTTCGACCTTCTGTCCAGAGCTGGGTGTGCCAGAAACAAAAACGTAAGTCTCCAGTATCCGGAAAGGTTATTGCGGAAACAAAATCGGGGAACATTTATGAGGGATGCATCATTCTTTCCGATAAAAAAAGGTTTTGTTTTCGTTTCTTTTGGGAAATATATGACAACGCGGTTAGAAAAATGATGTCACGATGATTAAGGGTAGGAAATTTCTCATATCCGTGATAAAAACCGCCACAGGAAAGGCATTTTGAAAGATGGAAAGAGGCAGCACATGTTTTCCCTCACTACACAGTAAGCATATCTCTGAATATTCTGGCTACCTGACGGTTCAACCTGACCGTGACTTTTGCTACTCGGATGACTGGTGTATCTGCGTGCCACAAGACCGGTCGTTAAGAATTTTGACAGGTAGAACATTTGTCGGTAGGCCATTGTGTGTGGGAGCGTCGCTTACTATGAGATTACTTTCAGAGTACGCTGGCTTCTATGGTTGGCAATTACAGTGTTTTTACATCTCTGTCGCTCAGTAATGTGGAACTTTTGCAGTAACTTGGTGACTCTGAATGGCCCATCGCAAAGTGGTCCAAGCGGTTGGTGGGCAACGTCAAGGCGAACAACACCATATTACGTTTTTTGTGGAATAAATTGAGTGAAGAAATCAGTTGTTTGAGGTTGAACAAAAGCACGTTAACCCGAACGTATCGCTTTTATATGCCGAGTCTCGGTAGACAGTTTGCGGATACCGATTGTCAACAATGAAGAGGAGAAGAGGTCAGCCGACGGTCGAAAAGTAGATCCACAGGTAAGTTCTGTGAAGACACATCTAACACCAACTTCTGACCCGTTTTGGACTCTCAGAAGGACTACAGGGAATGCTCGGTCGACAGAGGTGTGTTTGCCGCCGAAAGGGCAGCCGTCAGCTGTCTCTGGAAACGTTTTAGCACGCCATTTGAGTGTGGGCGGTAAGCCATCTCTCGAAACCGAATGCCACCCGAGAGTGCGATCAGGGTGCGAAATAATCCACGCTCAAGTTGGAGCACACAGTCGGTTGTTATTCAAGATGGACCTTTAAAGTTCGCCATCCATCCTTCGATGAAAACATGCATGACAACTTCGGAGGTAATATCCTTAATGCGTTCTGCTTCCATCTATCTCGCAATACGAAAGATGGGCACACATTAGATACCGGCGGGGGACCTACAGTGCATCTATATTTGTGGTAAAAAGGAGCCTCTACTGGTTGAAAAGAATCCGAAGCACCTTTCATGTGCCGTCACATTCTGCAATTTTGCAGACTACGCATGATCAGGCCCACTCTTTACCGAATTTGTTGATCCAACTCCAGCAGAAACATCGTACGATAAGCCCGATAGCCGCCCTTACACGTGGATGAGATAGTTTATGAACGTATTGAGGATATTCTAGATGATGCGTCGGCTGCGGAGTTATTTGCTACGGATATGTAACGGAAATCGGAAGTGAACTGGGAAGTGCAGTTCATCTATCACGACTCACATGGGAAGTAGCTATCGGATACTGAGCTAAGGAGGTTAGCTGTTTGTGGTTTGAGAAAGTGATGGGATAGTAATAATCACTGTTATCATAACGAAATCTCTACATTCAGCCTAATGTCAAAGATGGTGCATGAGATTGTAAATAGTCCAGAGTTCCCCACCAAACCTATTATATCTTGATTCTGCCCCCTTCGGTTACCCCGAGGAAAAGGTTAATGGCTGCCACTGGGTGTTAGTCAGTTACTGCGAAACTGCTCCGATTGCCGAGTCATATCCACCAGTAGCGCCACTCAAAGGAACTTTGGGATCGTGATGCAGAAGTGTGTCTGCACCTGTAATGGCTTCCTTGACCCTAAAGAAGACCAGTTTGGACGCATTGTACAGAGCGGCACCCTTCGTATGCCCTCAGAGCGGACCCATCAGTGGTCTCAGAACAGAAGACCAGGTAGTAGGAAACCTTCGGTAATAACTTACCACTCCATCGAAAGTGTGAAGCTACTTTACAGTGGTCGGCTCTGAATAGCCACCACAGGGTGGCTATCAACGGGTGTTTACCCTTGTTGAAGCCTAACGATTCGACTCCTGTTTGAAATGTTGGATGTTCACCGTGGCATCAACCTTCTGCTACCTGTTGACACGGTGGTCGGTGTAAACATGGACAAAATCCAAACCTGGAAGATATCATCCGCAAAGCGTTGGAATATTTGTGCTCCATTCCGAAGATCGAGGAGCATGCGCAGAAATTCAGACCGTCCAAAAGTCTAATAACGGCTGTTTCCGGTGTATACCTTCTGCGTCATAAGTATCCGATTGTACGCGTTGGCTAAGTCAGTTTAAGGGAATATATTCGTTTCGCTCGAAGTTACAGTCAAGCCGTAGAAATGAGGTATTGAGCAGTATTCGGGTGTTGTTAAGATGAAAGGGGTTACAGGTGGTATGCTGCGCAATGATCATACCCCCTCTGATCCTCCTGTATTTACCGGAAGCAGTTTCAGAGAAACTGGGTAAGGTTTGTACCGTAGCCCAATCATTAGTTTCGCAGCTCCTTCCTGAACCCGTTCTAGAACGGCTATGTCTTCATCGGGTATGGAAGATTAACTGGCGAGTTTTTCTGTTGATGAGGACCAATGTAGAGTTCGCACAGCAGCGTAAAGCTAAAAGCTAAACTTCCCGGGGTTTGTTGGAAAACCAGGGTACTCCAGATGCCTCGTTAGCTGCAGGAAGACAGAAGTCAACAGGTGTCAATTATGGTGCATCCCGAATCTTCTTCGTCCTTTCGGGGAAAGATATTTATTTCCTCAGGGAGTAAGAACCAGGATTTCACCGCTATTTGTCTGTAGTCATTATCGAGCACTTCGTATTAACGGAGAGCAGGTTTTCACTCGCCGAATCTATGATTTTAGAAAGGTCCTTTTGTGCAACCAAGATGTTTGTTGACCTCTGCATCCCCCTCAAAATTCTGAGATCATCGGCATACAATGGTGAGTGTGAATTTAAGCTCCTCAGCAAATCAGTCTCAAGGAGCACGGGGCAGTAGTGAACCGGGATTGGAACCCTGAGGTACACCACTCAGCACCAAAAACCATTTTGATAAGGAAGAGCCTACTTTAGCCGTCTGTGACACACTCCCAAAGCAAAACCTAGGCTAAGCGAGTAACCTCCCACGTGACCCAATGAGCTAAGGTCACTTTTCGTAGGATGTTATGACTAACCTTTACGAAGACATGAGAAAAGTCAAGTAACGGTATAAAAAGGCTTTCTCTGCTCAACGAACATACTGACTGTTCCACACTATCGTCAGAATGGCATTGCATGACCTTTCAGGAGAAAACTATCTGCTTGCAGTTAAGTAGAATTGAGTTCCTACGTAAATAGTCACGGAATGCATCATTTACTACTCTAACCGTGACCTCAGCAACTGAAAAGAACAAGAAGGCTGGTATGTGGTTGCAGGCAGGTATTTAGTGTACTGGAATGGCAACCAGCCGCTTTTGATTAGAGGGAAGCTTACCTTCTGGAAAGGAATATCTGAAAATGTTTGCCAGTGGGATAGTTCAAATGTCTGCACACTCAGAATCCAGTAGGGTGTGTCGTATTTTCCTGATGATTTACTAAGATTTAAGCTCTTGATTTAAGTTACTCTTGTGTTAAGAGGCTCATTTTCTGCATAAGTTGACCTCTTCAGTTTGATAGAAATTATTTTGAAAATACTGAGCTAACAGCTTACCCACCTGAAACCGAACGTAAGGTTATTCAAGAGCCCTAGGTTTGAAAAACCAAAATAAAAATTACAGGCGACCTATTAATAAACCATTACCATCCGTTACTGTGATACCTTTGAATTCGATTAACAGTTGTTTAAATAATCTATTTCGGAAGTAAGTCTCCTAAGTCTATAAATTTGGCACTGTTGTTGCCTCCATTGTTGCCAGGGCTACTTGTGTTGAGTGAGATGCAGATCTTTGTGAAGACGTTGACTGGGAAGACGATCACGTTAGAGGTTGAGCCTAGTGACACTATTGAGAATGTGAAGGCGAAGATTCAAGATAAGGAAGGCATTCCTCCTGACCAACAACGTTTAATTTTTGCTGGTAAGCAATTGGAAGATGGTCGTACGTTGTCTGACTACAACATCCAGAAGGAGTCTACTCTACATCTTGTTCTGCGTCTACGTGGTGGTATGCAGATCTTTGTGAAGACGTTGACTGGGAAGACGATCACTTTAGAGGTTGAGCCTAGTGACACTATTGAGAATGTGAAGGCGAAGATTCAAGATAAGGAAGGCATTCCTCCTGACCAACAACGTTTAATTTTTGCTGGTAAGCAATTGGAAGATGGTCGTACGTTGTCTGACTACAACATCCAGAAGGAGTCTACTCTACATCTTGTTCTGCGTCTACGTGGTGGTATGCAGATCTTTGTGAAGACGTTGACTGGGAAGACGATCACTTTAGAGGTTGAGCCTAGTGACACTATTGAGAATGTGAAGGCGAAGATTCAAGATAAGGAAGGCATTCCTCCTGACCAACAACGTTTAATTTTTGCTGGTAAGCAATTGGAAGATGGTCGTACGTTGTCTGACTACAACATCCAGAAGGAGTCTACTCTACATCTTGTTCTGCGTCTACGTGGTGGTATGCAGATCTTTGTGAAGACGTTGACTGGGAAGACGATCACTTTAGAGGTTGAGCCTAGTGACACTATTGAGAATGTGAAGGCGAAGATTCAAGATAAGGAAGGCATTCCTCCTGACCAACAACGTTTAATTTTTGCTGGTAAGCAATTGGAAGATGGTCGTACGTTGTCTGACTACAACATCCAGAAGGAGTCTACTCTACATCTTGTTCTGCGTCTACGTGGTGGTATGCAGATCTTTGTGAAGACGTTGACTGGGAAGACGATCACTTTAGAGGTTGAGCCTAGTGACACTATTGAGAATGTGAAGGCGAAGATTCAAGATAAGGAAGGCATTCCTCCTGACCAACAACGTTTAATTTTTGCTGGTAAGCAATTGGAAGATGGTCGTACGTTGTCTGACTACAACATCCAGAAGGAGTCTACTCTACATCTTGTTCTGCGTCTACGTGGTGGTATGCAGATCTTTGTGAAGACGTTGACTGGGAAGACGATCACTTTAGAGGTTGAGCCTAGTGACACTATTGAGAATGTGAAGGCGAAGATTCAAGATAAGGAAGGCATTCCTCCTGACCAACAACGTTTAATTTTTGCTGGTAAGCAATTGGAAGATGGTCGTACGTTGTCTGACTACAACATCCAGAAGGAGTCTACTCTACATCTTGTTCTGCGTCTACGTGGTGGTATGCAGATCTTTGTGAAGACGTTGACTGGGAAGACGATCACTTTAGAGGTTGAGCCTAGTGACACTATTGAGAATGTGAAGGCGAAGATTCAAGATAAGGAAGGCATTCCTCCTGACCAACAACGTTTAATTTTTGCTGGTAAGCAATTGGAAGATGGTCGTACGTTGTCTGACTACAACATCCAGAAGGAGTCTACTCTACATCTTGTTCTGCGTCTACGTGGTGGTATGCAGATCTTTGTGAAGACGTTGACTGGGAAGACGATCACTTTAGAGGTTGAGCCTAGTGACACTATTGAGAATGTGAAGGCGAAGATTCAAGATAAGGAAGGCATTCCTCCTGACCAACAACGTTTAATTTTTGCTGGTAAGCAATTGGAAGATGGTCGTACGTTGTCTGACTACAACATCCAGAAGGAGTCTACTCTGCACCTTGTCCTGCGTCTACGTGGAGGGTTTTAATTTTATTTCATTTAAGGTCTGAAATAAATTTTAGTTTCATTTTAGTTCATTCTGTTGTTTTCAGTGTCTTGATTTCGCACTTTTGGTTGGGAAATAAGTCGATTTGGTTTTGACATTGTTCGTGCACAGAAATTTTTCGTCCTGGGACTTTGTTATAATGCTTAAGACCAGTGCTTTCAGGTTGTGTTTGCTAGACAGATGCACGTTGTCGGAAATACGTTTACAGGTACGCTAAGTAATGCGGCACTAATTCTCTGGCCGTGCCTTCATCTATATTTGCAGTACAATGTACGTGTTGTGGATTGAGTCCCCACCACAGTTTATTGTCTTTGTGGCTACTACCCACTTACACAGAAATGCGCTCACTCCGTTTCGTAGCTGTCATCCGATGATTAAACTCGACGACTATCATATGGTACGTAACTGACATAGTGTCTATCAGTTGATTGTGAATTTTCTCAGACCTGGAGGACTTGATGGTTTGTTATTTAGTGCTGACTTAATATTGTATGATACCGCGTTCCACCGTTACCTTCCTAGATGTCTTTCTTCGCTGACAAAAGTTCAGTTTGTCATACGCTTACTAGTGTGATAGGTTCCTCTATGAATGTCATACCAGTTTTTGACCGCCGTATCTCTTTCTAGCAGTTCAAAGGTAATCAACCCTTAAGAGAGGGAGAGTAAATCCGAAGTACCACTCATAGTTATTGCTAATGTTGCAAACTACTACTTAGGCCATCCTACCTAAGATGATAGGAAAGATCCAGTCTCTCTGGTCATTCCTGAGGATAGAGAGGCCAGCCACCAAATTAGTTCCGACTCTGGACGAGTTCCAATTCTCTCCCATTTAGGACTAGTCCCCTGAAGGCCATTTTCAGGGTAAGACCGCACTACTTGTCAAGGTTTTTAAAGGATATACGAACACTTGGTTCCTGTAACCCTCACGAAATGGCCTAACTACACCATACATCAACATAGGCATCACTGCGCAATGGTCCTTGTTTCCACGCTTCATATCAGCAAATCGGGCAACAAAGCACAAAGACGAAAAATAGAATGCATTGGTCAAGTGGCTAAAGATCGGCAGTGGGGATATAACGAAACAGTGGATTTAGTATGGCGATTAGGGTAAAGTGTAGATGCATCTGAGCCACTGAGGTCTATTGTGAGCTATTTAACTTGGACTCTCCAACCACTGATTTCCGCTGTCATATGTACTCCATCCTGGAAGTCTCCATGTAGTGTCTTGTTTTGTCAACTCCTAACCTTCCAACCTAAACTTGCTTCAGTTAACATTGCGAGACGAGGCAGACGGCAAGTACGCACGCAGGACATGTCTCATCTACCTCAGTAGATGATTCACAGCCGCACCAACTAACCTTTTTTTCCATGGAACTCTACACCTGACATCTGCATTACTGAAATGGGCACGCCACGGTACAGTCTGTGGTATGAAGGCAACGGTAGTCAATCACACTTCATAGAAGTACACAATAGGTGGATAGAAAAGGAGTGATATCAAAGTAGATTAGGCAGTTTAAGATAAAGGATTGTGTGAATACTCAACCATTGGAAAATGTCAAGGAGTGAATACATTTGCGCCATTGTGACATATTTCAGTCATGTCACCAAGTGTCCTCACCCATTGGTTCCTCTGGTCTCGAGGACTAACTAGGCAGTCTACATCTCCCCACACAGCTCAGGTCAACAATCAGGGATTTCATCTTGGTCTGACCACCTTGAACTCTCTTCCAGCCTATTCCAACTTCCTCCAGCATTACACGTCGAGGTAGGTGATGTCTCCACATGCTCAGTACATGTCCAAGGCATCTCAACCTCGTTAGTCTACTTGCCTAGCACCTTTCGCTTGACGTCAACGTTGCTCACACGGTGGTTCCACCACACATGAGCAATGCTACGAAGACACGTATGGTCAGAAGACTGATTGTTTCATGTCTCAACCGAACGACAGGACTGCAGCGCAGTATGCTTCTCCCTGGCTAGGTAGTCGGATATCTCACCGGGGCTACAGGTGATACAAGTTAGCAAATGCCAAACGGGCCTTCTGTATCCTCGCTGACATTACGTCAGCAACCGCCCTATTCAGGCTGATGCAACTTCCCGACAAGTGAAGTGGTCGACACCCTACCATTTCACTCCAATATTAATAAACTGGGAGTACTTACAGCAGAGCAGTCCTGGAGCATCTTAAATTTGACAGGTTCAAAGCCCATGCCAGACAAACAGATTTCTACTCAAGACTTTCAGAAGACGCTGCATTTTCTCAGCTTCATTCAGCAGAACAATATCTGCATACTCCAAGTCAACCAGATAACCCCCAGGGAGTAGATCAACCCATACGAAGCCAGACTACCTTAGGTTATGTCCATTAGTGCGTCTATAACGAAGGTAAATAGGAACAGGGACGGTGGAGATCCCTGGTGAACACTACTAGTTGGCATCAATTCACATGACAACTCTCCATAAGCCCTGGCGTGTATGCGTGAGTTCAAGTAGAGAGATTTGAACAGCGTTACATACTTGCTCGATACTCCCTTCACAGTCAGACATTACCATAACATCTGATGGTCGAGGGAGTCAAATACCACCTTCGGACTAAGAAACATGGCAAGTATCAGCCACCGGCGGTAAGTACATCTGTCTAAGGGTGTAAATATGGTCGATGCACCCTCGTCGAGGTCTGAAACCTGCCTGGCTTTCTCGAGTATTCTGTTTTTGAGCTCCGGTTAGGCGTCACATAACCATGAACCCTAGGATGTTGGATACAGTATTAGTCATTATAATTTCCCTACCATTGCCTCGAAAAGATTTCTCCACCTTCTTATAGACGGATGATCAGTAAAGTAGATCACTGTGACTCCACAACCTCTGATTTCCATACAGTATCTAGTACCTCCGTCACTCTAATTGTCAATTTCCTATCTCCATACTTAAAAACTTCAGGGGGCAAAATGTCAGGTTCTGACGTCAGTAAGTATACCTGTGTTCTAGAACCTGACGGAGAGAATATCTAGTCGATGCATCCATGGTCTCGTCTGAATCCTGTATGGTTTTCTCAGGCTTGCTGTTCACGTTCTCCACTCAGACATCTAATGGTTGTGGAACCTAAAATCTTAGACAGTATTTTCGTCGGGTTGATTCCCTTCTGGTTAGCACAAGACTTTTGACCTTCCTTCTGACCTAAGACAATCAGTGATTGAGACCATTCAGAGGTGATTATAGCTGATTCCGATTCGCTAGTTAACACATCAGCTAACTCGACCAATGAACTTCTACCACCGTCTTTAAATATCCTCCGTCTGACCCTTGTGATCTCCCTTGTTTCAGATCACTTGCAGCTTTCTTGACTTCTGTATATGTTGACCTGCTCCTCGAGGTGTTCGACTCATCGTTCCAGTCGTCTCCCCTCTCAAAGAATTACAGACACCTCTTTCTCTGCTAACCACTCACCTTTCCACCTCAGATTTATTAGGAAGTCTAAATGAACTGTCTACTGTTATCTGTCGCCTCTACGTTTTCCACCTCTAGACTTGGCTACCCACCACTGTTCACGGTCATCGTGTAGACGTTTTGTCAGTCTGCGTTTGAGTTGCATTCGCTCCTCATTGTACTCGGAGCGTAAAGGGGTGTGTTTGCGTGTATCCACTAATTTGAAAGAAGCTGCTGGGATCCAGTGGTCTTTCGAACCATTCTCTGAGAATCGGCTTCAACCTACATCGGTTTTTTCACAGCAGACTAAAGAGGGCACCAATCTTCTTCCGGATGAGTGATAGTGTTCTGTTCCGATGACTGTCTAACCAGTTTCTCACAGAAAGCCGCCTTATCGTTCTTATTGTTGAACTGCACTTGCAGTAGTCTTGTTCCTAAAGTTATCATACGTCTACGTAGACCCAGACATAGATGCACTCGAACTAATGTGTGGTCACTGTTCAGATACATGCTCGTTGATGAGCGACAGTCTTCCACCGACCCTCTTCGCAGCGATGAATGATGACAATATGGTCTACCTGTGTCCACCACTAAGTTGAGCTCGATGCACGCCATGTCAAACAACATCGATGTATGTTTGAAGTTTGTGCTGGCTAGAAATGAGTGGTTCTCTGGGCAAAGCTGTAGTAGGCGATCACCGTTATCTGTTCGTTCGACTGAGATTGTGGAAGTGCCACCTCTTCGGATTTCTGTCTGACAGCCCACCCACCTGTACATTGAAATCACCTGCAACAACCATGTTTGAGCGCTTGGCTTTCAGTAGGAGGGTAGAAAGTTTTGTGTAGAACTTATCTTTCAGTTCATGTGAACTGCAGTCAGTAGGTGCGTAAGTGGAGATTGCGAAGAGACCGGTGAGTTCCACTTCTCTGTTTATTCTCCACTATGGCGTTCAGTGGAACAGCTTATGGGCGACTGTCAACTGGTATTCAGTGGAGCAGTGCTATTTTTGTCTGTCTTAGGACTTAGTGATATACCTATACCTGCAATACCACAATAACTAGCCATGAGTCTGCAGAAACTCGAAGGGTGAGTTTCGCAGATTCACCATATTGACAGAGTGAGGTTGAGTAAGTAACCGCACATGCGTTACGTGCATGTGTCTCACAAACACAGCACACACCCAATTCCCTGAGCTGTTAAATTCTTGGCTAGTGGAGCTTGGCTGATTTGGTGGAGGGCGTGGAAATTGAGAGCTCTAGTGTATAGTTTGGAGACCAGGGATGCTGTTCTGTGAAATAGATGGTTGTCGAGAGTGGCTGAGAAATTAAAGATGGTGTAGGATTATTGACCGAGGGTTGTGAAGGATGATTAGAAGGTAAGGATGTGAAAGGTTGATAATAATCTGAGAAAACCTGGGTGAGGGCAGTTGACACTCCCCGGTCGCCCACACCTTAGAAGACTGTTTGTTCTCGAGGTATTTGAAAAAGAAGGGTTAGTGCGTAACCTCAGAGCCTAAGGGACATTTTCTTCAGCCCGGTCATACTGCCATTTAGCAAGCTTACGATTTTTGTTGGCTGCTTTCGTATCCGACTATATAT